CTGTACTAAATTCTCAGGATAAAAGCATGCTGACTATCTATGGGGGGGATAGTTTAAATAGGTCCTGGGGAGAACGATAAAAATTTAATTTCGCATCTCCTACATATGTAAATAAAAATTGTTGAATCTTATAGCGTTTTCTCTTGGCTGCACTATCGCCCACTAGTGCAACACACAGACAGTGTACCGTCAGAGAGATGGCTGGTGATAAGCGAACTCATTCGGTGTAATGTGTTTCCGTGGCTACGGTGTAGTGCAAATTTTATGCACGAAGTGGGATTTTGCTACACCGTCTCAATTGTTTAAAGCGCTGACTCTTAATCGCTTCTATTATTTAAGATTTAAGTTATATGTTACTACGCTATTTATTTGTAAACCTATCAAGACATATATATACAATATATAATTTAAAAATTAAAATCTCTTCAGATTTCTTTGAATATATCGAGTCGGATTTATACGAAGATGAGAAATTTGCTTAGATGCGAAACACGATTTTTTAAAATGATTATTACGGATTAGTCACTGAAAAGAACAAAGATCGTTTTCAAAACGCTCTATATGTTCAATTTTATCCTTCGTTTCACCCATTCCTAAACACAGTCGCGTACATAAACTCGTAAACAGCATTAGGAACGCTAATGATTGACTTTCCTCTTGTATTCTGTTATGCGTTCCTACTGTGAACAGATTTGAAGAAGAGTTATAACGGTTCTAAAACGTTCTTGATACTTGATCCCCAGTTCTAATTGCTATAAAATTCGAAAAACATGTACCGATCTATTGTGTTAATCGTGGCACTCGTCGAGTTGATCAATTCGAAATCATTGATAAGGTGAGATAGTGAAAATATTGATTCGTGACAAATACTTCAAAGATAATTAGAACAAAACTGTTGAAAAATGTCTTTGGGTGTAATCTTATAAAAAAAGCTTTTAAGCATATAAAGATAGGAATTTTATTATCTTCATGTCTTAAGTGAGACGAGCATTATGGAAACTGAAATTCGCATTTAAAATATGTAAACATTATTTAAATGCGTAAATAGATTAAAGTTAATTGCATTAATTACTCAGTACTGAAATATTAAGACATAAATAATATCTAAAAATAAGAGAAAATAAAAATAAAAATGGTGAATTAATTTGTTCGAAATTCGCATGTGTACAGTCTTGATCTTGATGTTATTCGTATCTTCGTGTAATTGTGAAATATATATATATATATATAAAGTATGTGTGTGTATGTATACATATACATAAATATGTAACATAATGGATTTTTTTGTGTGGTTTCAAGAATTCCATTATATAGGACAAAGGCTATTCAAAATTGGATTTTCATTGAAGATAAACGATTTAACTTGGATAATTTTCCAAAGGCACAACAGTTTTATTTATATGACAGACAATATTATGGCATTATCTCAGTTGGAACCCCACCACAGGAGTTTAAAATTAGTTTCGACACTGGTGCCTCTAATTTTTTTGTACCATCCATCAACTGTCATACTGATAATATTGCTTGCTGTATGTAAATCATAACATAACATTTTCTGCGCCATTGATTATTTTATTTATTTTCACATTTATACTACTATACTTATATATTTTATGTTATTTATATTTATACTTATATACAAGCATATTTATGTTTAATAATATTAGTATTACATATGTAAAGATGATATCAATTGCTTTTTTATTTTAATGATTAACTTTAAGTAAAAGTATAGGGTACAGAGGCAACCTATATATTTCAAGTATAATTTTTTTGATTATTTGAAATCCAATAGTTTTAAAATTAAAATAACTGTTAAGGTAAATATTACGAAATTAAGTTTTACAATCATATGTTGTTTATTTTATTTATCGTGCTTATTTTAAGTGTATAAATGATTATATATATCTTTGATACAATCCGTATGTTAAAGCAAAGAAATAATAAATGTTTTCGTTCTTATAACAATTGTTAACATATATATCTCTAAATTAATAAATAGAAATTTATTTTTAGCATGTTTAACAACAATTGATTATCTGTTATTATTTTATACAGCGTCAAAAACAAGTTATCATAACAATAAATCCCACACGTACATACAAGTTGGTACTACTATCGGACTTGATTACGCGGTTGGTGCGGTTACTGGATACTTATCTACTGATGCAGTGAATGTAGGTTGTCGTCAAGCAAATAGTTCGATTTAAATTCAATTATTACTTATAAAGATTTTTTCAAAGTTTCACATTGGTGTGTGTTTTATAGATTGCTGGCGTTATTGTTAAAAATCAAACATTCACAGAAGCGCTAACACGGGATCTGACTTTTGCCTTTCTGAGACTCGACGGGATCTTAGGAATGGGTTACCCAGAGATATCTACAAAAGGAGTGCCTCCCGTTTTTACCAGCATGATTGAACAAGGCCTAGTATCGGCACCTGTTTTTAGTTTTTATCTGAATCGGCATGTAACTCCTTCTTATATCTAAAAATATTCTTTCGCTTGAACAGTTCGTTTTACTATATTACAAAACTGTTTTTTTATTAAACAATATCTTTAATATTGAAAAAAATATACATTGTGCAGAAATTATTATTACGGTAGTGAACTGATATTGGGTGGTTCCGACCCCTTTCATCGTTACACCGAGTTCACTTATGTTAATGTCATCAACAAAGGATACTGGCAAATTGCCTTGGATATGTACATAATTATTCTTTTAACTACGTACTTATATATGTCAACCGATTATACATAAGCTAATTGTTAATGCTATAGGATAGAAATGAGACATATGATTTTCTGTAAAGATGGCTGTGAAGCTATCATACACACTGGTTTTTCGGGGATAGCTGGACCAACATCAGATATCGAATATATTAACACCGAATTAGATACATTAAAACGAGTTGGAATCTTTCATGGAGCTGATATGATTGTAAGTAGATGACAAATTTCCCAATGGGAGCTATTTTCAATGAATACTAAATAAATTACTGAAGTAAATTAATAAATGTCTGATTTTCTTTCGTTGACAATAATATGGTTTATTAATATTAAGTTTTGTTATGTTATTGGTTATATTAATATGAATTATTAATAGGTACTTAACTTTATTTAAAGGTGGACTGCAATCAGATATCTGAGTTGTCCAATATTACTTTTTTCCTGGGTGGTAAACCATTCGTACTCACTGCACAAGATGTCACCAATGTCGGAAATGTAAATATAGTTAAATTAAAGTTAAAATTCCTGTTCACTCAGCTCGAATCTTCAGATTAAAGATTTCAGAAGCGATAAAGTACATGAAAACTCATGCAAAATATAATAAATTGGATGCATTTTTCAAGATAATGGTTTTTACATTTAATTGAATACACATGTAAGAAAAATATACTAACTTCCTCGCAAATCGTATAGTTTATTTTGTTTTCAAGTTATAATTAAATTTTAATTATAAGATTATTTATTGATTTTACTGTAAAACATAGAAAGTTTTGGGTATTTTACAAATATGTCAAATGCAATATCGTTTTATTAAAAATTACATTTTAATGTTATTTGCAATGTTTTTTTTAAATATATTTTCTCGCTTTTGATGTCGCAATATAAGATGGTAATGAATAGACAAGAGCTATAAACTGTTTTAAAATGAAACGCCATGTCATGTTCAATTTGTTGTAGGATCCTATGTCATGTACAAGCCCTTTCGTAAATTCCAAGAAATATTTTGGTTTGGAGGATATTTGGGTTTTAGGTATTCCATTTCTAAATCAAGTTTATACTGAGTTCGACATGGGGAACGACCGAGTGGGATTTGCGTATGCAACATAAGTATTGTTTTCTCAAGAGATTGTTTTAAATGCTAGAATATCATAGAAAATAATGTGCGAATTATTTTATCTTCTAAAGTTTTTAGAATCTTTTTGGATTTTTTATTTTTTAATTCTCTTATACTTATAGCGTTGAAATTGTTATTTGGAGTTATTTAAGCGTTATTGATAAATGCGTATGTGATATAATTCATAAAAGTATAACGAAAATGTGCGATATTATTGTTATCAACGTTTAATACAACCCATCTTCCAGCATAATATCGTATTGTCACACGATATTATAAATATGATTCTGTTAATCTTAAATTCTCTCTTTTGTTTAGTAAAACGTAAAAGTTGTATGTATTTTTCAATGCGGACTCTGCATTTGTAAACTTATCTAAAATCTAAAGCAATAAATTTTCTTTGGTTGTAATTAATGTTATCGAATATATCTTACGTTTATACCAGAGAAAATGATAATAATATAAATCTTTAAAAATAATTTTGCGTTATTAAGATTATATAATATAACCAAACATTTTGCTTAAACTTAAGCAATGAATTAAATATACTGATTGTCCCGCTTATACGTCAAAGAGAATATAAAATGTCGATGAATGTATAAAATTAAATGTTGAGGATAGCTAAAAATGAACTATTAAATTATGTAATTACATAAAACAAATTATATATTATTTTTAGATAATTTTTAGCATATTGTTTAAAGCGCTGACTCTCAATCGCTTCTATTATTTTAGTTATTTGTTACTACGCTATTCATTTGTAAACCTATCAAGACATACAATACATAATTTAAAAATTAAAATCTCTTTCAGATTTCTTTGAATATATCGAGTCGGATTGATACGAAGATGAGAAATTTGTTTAGATGCGAAACACGATTTTTAAAAATAATTATTACGGATTAGTCACTGAAAAAGAACAAAGATCGTTTTCAAAACGCTCTGCTTGTTCAATTTTATCCTTCGTTTCACCCATTTCTAAACACAGTCGCGTACATAAACTCGTAAACAGCATTGGGAACGCTAACGATTGACTTTCCTCTTGTATTCTGTTATGCGTTCCCACTGTGAACAGATTTGAAGAAGAGTTATAACGGTGTTCTAAAACGTTCTTGATACTTGATTCCCAGTTATAATTGCTACAAAATTCGAAAAACATGTATCGATCTATTGTGTTAATCGTGGCACTCGTCGAGTTGATCAATTCGAAATTATTGTTAAGGTGAGAAAGTGAAAATATTGATTCGTGACAAATACTTCAACGATAATTGGAACAAAACTGTTGAAAAATGTCTTTGGTTGAAATCTTATGAAAAAAGCTTTTTAGTATTTAAAGATTGAAATTTTATTATCTTCATGTCTTAAGTGAGATGAGCATTATGGAAACTAAAATTCGCATTTAAAATACGTAAACATTATTTAAATTCGTAAATAGATAAAAGTTAATTGTATTAATTACTTGGTACTGAAATATTATGACATAAATAATATCTAAAAATAAAAGAAAATTAAAATAAAAATGGTGAATTAATTTGTTCGAAATTCGTATGTTGTACGATATTCGTATGTCCGTGTAATTGTGAAATATATATATATATATATATATAT